ATAAATACGATCTGACATTCCAAACTGATTGGAATCAGTTAGAATCACTCAATATTGCTGACATGGTGGAGAAGGTAAAGGCCAAGATTGAGGAGACTCAGAAGAAAATTTACCCACAACCTTGGAAGCTCATTGGGTGATTTTGAGCCAGTTATTCTTTCAGTCTAACCTACCTATCAGGGCTGTTGTGGAAAAGTTTGAGAAGAGACTTTTGTTAACATTGAGATATAAATCAATAATTCAATACAGACACAAATACACAGTCTTAATTTCAACGCAGTTGAATCTTTGCATAGTCTATAATAACAACAATACTATAACAAGAAGAATGTACTGGTATGAATACAAGAACAGATGGATGGATGGATGGATGGATGGATGGATGGATGGATAGATAGTATATTTTAATGTTAGACCTAGTGCACTAGTATTATCTTTTAAAAAAAGTATTGTCTTTTACAAATAAAATGCCTCTTTGAAAGTGTGTATTAAAACAACAATATCAGGAACAACAAATTTAAGCTAGGTGGTGCTGAACTGAGGCATTGTTTGGGGTCAATTAACATATTTAAAATCTATGAAGGATTAATCCCCTTAGCAACACGTCTCCTTTAAAAAGAAAGAAAGAAGGATAAATAGGCAACTTAACTTGTAAACCTTTCTCAATACTTCTTTGAATTAGACTTTTAAAATAAGTAAGGTTTACATTTGCCTGGCTTACCTGGACATTAAGATTTCAATTAAATGCTTCTAGCTTAAATTTAAGCACTACTCAGGATAGCACCATTTATTTATTTTTTTGCCTAAGTTCAGGGAAGCTTACTTTCTACGAAGCTTGTTTAGCAAACATCACACCCAGACTTAGAAAAACTGGTTTGTCACAAACAGGGTTGTCCCAACCAAATCCTTTTTTAAAAACCAAAACCCAATGCAGTGAATTCAGCCCCTGCTGCTTAAGGAAGGCCTGGCCTGGAATTGCATCTGCTCGGAGAATTTGTTTTAAGGATTGCAGGAAATCCAAAAGTCTTTCCAAGACCTTTGGATGAAATACATCTTAAGGTTAGAGTTCTCAGATGTCATTGGATTGATCATAGAGCTACTCTTCAACATATTCCAAATAATTGAATTAAACTAGTCAGCAACATTTGCATTTCAGTTATTTTGATAGCATGCACATATTTATTTACAAGTAAGTCCCACTGAACTCAAGATTTATTCCAAGTTAAATGTGTATTGAACCGTTGTTGGAAGAAGAACGTCTAGTTTTACAAACTGCTCATTGCCACCCAGTGAGGTTGTTGAGAATGTATTGAATACATATTCTCTCATCTACAGCACCCATCCTCCTCAATCATTGGCCAAAAAAACCCTAGAGATTATGAGTAGTGGTGGTCCAGCAAGTTTGAAAAGTCCTGGGATAGGAAAGTTGATGAATATTTGGTTAGCGAAGTCAAAATATGGGTACTGTTGTGACATTTGCAAATTGTTCTAAGTTTTGCTAGCCACAAACTTTCCCACTGCATTTAAAACAAACAAACTGGAGGGAGATGTTTGAGTTCCAATGCAAAATATCTTCTTTAACAAAACGAATCCTTCATTTTGATGATGAACGCTTTGGTGATGAGTCCAGGAATGCAAGCAGACAAGAGATGGCAATGGAGTGGCCTAAAATCCATCAATGGAAGCTTCTTTTCTTTCTCACTTTGCCAAATAGGTTTTGGAATGAAAAGGACACACAACTCTCCTGAAACTAACTGGCTGCTTAAGATGATTTTATTGGGGACAGTGGCCATTCAATTCATTGAGGCATCCATCAGAAATCTTTTTCAGATCTGCTTTTGAGGCTCTTTTTGCTAAGCATAGGGAAGCTGCTGAAAACAGTAATCCTATGCCTTTTACTTGAGAATAAGATTGGTCCACATCGATAGTAAGTCCCATTTATACTGTATGAAGGAAAGCAGGAAGCAGGGAAGGATAGAAGATGCAAGGCAAATTTTTGAGTTATGTTTATTTCAAAGTCACTTGTGGTAAACATTTCCTGAAGTCTTTCTTCTTAACATCTATGGCATTTGGACACATGCATCTTATCGCTTTATGTATTTTAAATTCCACAAGCTGAAGGTTTGAATCTCATCACCAGCTTTCTTGAATCACTTGCCTTCCAGATATCTAGAACTGCAACTGTGATCATTCTTAGCCCACATAGTTTAGTCCCACATACCTGGAAAATAAAGGTCTGAGCAGACCTGAAGTCCCAAAAAGTTTAGTTAAGAATCTTTCCATAATGATCCCCCAGAATTCTGCCTTTCAAGACTGTCGCCATTTTGAATCCATTAAAAAAAAAAAAAAAACAGAACACCCAGCAGTTGAGTCCTATGGTCAACTCTATCATTCTTACTTAGGATATATTTAGCCCTGGAGTCTCGTCCCAATATTATACCATCTGGTCCTTAGCTTAGTACAAAAATGGTTTTTTTTATTCCACCTTTAGTTTAAGCTGATTTTTTCCTATTTTTTTTTCTAAAAAAGCAACAATAACTTTACCTGTCTATTTAGCCATTTCCTTTCTAATTCAAGAGAGTAAAAAAGACCTTGTGGCATATTGCATAGGACAGGAAATGAACAGGGCAAAAAACTCGCGATGCAGAAGGAATGGTTAGAAAAATTACGATTTGTTTTCCCGGGGAGGCCATGGCAGAGGAAAATATCCTCAACTTTTCTTTAGCTAGAAGTCAAACTCATCTAGTCTAGTCCACGGCTCTGCAGCCAATATCTTCTATTGGGTGCAAGGATAGCCATTCTGGAAAAGAACGTTTCTGCTAGGCTTAGACGTTTTCACCTAATTCGACTCGGAGCATCCACAGAATAGGGAGGTACTTTCTGTTGGGGTTCCCGCTTCCCTCCTAAATCAAGGTTGCCTTTTTCTGTGCGGATCCCAGCTCCCCCGCCTGAATCTGATCTCAGCAGACAACCTTGATCCCTGAACTGACTTTCTTCAACACTTGGCTCTTCCTGGAAAAGGGTAGTTGTTTTTTTTTTAACACCTCGATAACGTACCTTTCAACATGATTTCCCAACTCATCATCCTCAGAGGCGTTCTTTGCACGGGGATCTTTCGCCTAGAAATTATGTCCCCTTGTTTCGAGTCAAAACCCTTTAGGATGAAGGTCTCTTTGGTGGCGTAGACACAGGCCTCCAGCCAATTCGCTTTTATTGTCTTACAAAGGGATTTTCAAGGGTGGCGGAATTCTTGCACGGGCGCAACTGCACGGCAGCAAATGCCACCGTTCCTGCGCGTTTAGCAGGAAAACAGGAGGTGTTCACGCCCAGCCACATTTTACTCATCACTGGCATAGCTTGAGACCTCGCCCCGACGCAATCCATTCTGCGGAATTGCCCCGAACTAGTGCGCGTTTGTACACACTCTCTTTGCAGTCAATCTCTATGGCAAACGTTGTTCTTTCAACCAACCAGGTGGCCCCGAAAGAGCGCCAGACTTGCCGTGCAAAAGCGCTAGGTTGCCACTCTGATCATCCTGAATCGGCGCTGTCAACTCCGCTTCCAACTCCCGGCCATGGATCCCCTGGCTGGGAATCGGAGGAGCTGAAATTTAGGTCAAGGGGGTCACACGGAAGGCAGCTACCCTCCTCTTTTACCAACCGCAGCGCGAACACGCCCCGTCAACACGTCTTTTTCTGCCGCCGGCATGTGTGGAAGAGGTTCGTTTGTGCTAAAATGACCCCAAGGAAGCCAGTGGGGCAAGGGTGTGGTATTGCGAGCTACTGTCTAATCCCCTTCCTACGCATTGTGTGTAGCGGTGGCTTTTGAAACAACTTGAGTGGCACTTCTGCCCGGTACTTTCTGGAGAGGGAGGATGTGCCACTGGAACTCAGTGGAACTTTTTCAATTAAGAAGCAATTGGAATTACGATTCGTGCGATTTCTCATAAACAACCGGGCCCATCTGCATAAACAATGCTCCAAAGAAAATTGTTATTATCTCGGGGTATTAACGAAATGGCATTTCTGCTAATTAAACACAACTGCCTTCTAAAAACAAGAACAGCCAGAGCCATCTTATGATTGTAATATACCGTATACCGCTGGAAAAAAAAAAGAGGTCTCGTTTACTTTTATTTCCAGGTTGTCGGTTTAAAAAGCAAAGGGGCTTGTTTTTCCTTCTTCTTTTCTCTCGGGTGCATTTTGGATTGGGAAGCAATTCGGGCTGCTAAACTCGCTTTATTACGGAGCTGTTTTTTTTTTAAATACGCGGGGACATATTTTTGAATAAACATCGATACTTAACTGAAAGAAGAAAGGGAAATTCCACCTGTCTTTTTCTCCGAAGATGGCAAAAAAGTAAAGACCTAACGCCGCCGCTTCAACCTAGTGTACGTCCTACTTTCTACACACCTACCATTATTACTAGCCCTTTAGCGATAGTTGTACCTTTGTTGATGAATGCTTCGAAATCAGGGACGGCACAGACGGTACGGTCTTTTTTTTTTTTTTTGCAAAAGAACATCGCCAAGGGTGGCATTTTCTGGCAAATATACATGCTCCAGGCAAATATTTCCCGTCTCCAGGAAAAACCCCGGTCAAATTCCCTTTGCTACAGGCTCATTTTCGCCGAGCGGCTCTCCGCGCCGCACCCACCCTTAAACAGCAGAGGGCGCCCTTGCACCGCCTTCAGCTCGCCGCCCTGCGCCGCGAGGAAGGCTGGGGGAGCGCGCAACCCTCGCCCGGGTCGCCGCAGACGAGCCAACAGCTGCTCAGAAAGCTTCGGAAAAGAGGGGAGACCGCCCCCCATTTTGGCTCTCTCCCCCCTCTCCCACTGCGGCGGGATCTTTTCCGGGCGCAGCAAACAACCTGTCTTTGTCGTGGGAGCCCTGAGCTGGCCGTCCTTAGAACCCCCGGGTGGGGTGGGGGTTCACGGTACGGGGGCGCCGATTCTCTCCCCCCCCCCGTTGCGAGCAGGCAGAGGGGGCCGCCTGGACTCACCGTTGGCGCTGGGGTGGGGCCTGCCGAAGAGTTTGCTGCTGGAAGCCTCTTTTCTGCCTTCCGGAGCCTCGCCGAAGTCCCCCTTTTTAATATCGGAGTCTTTGGAGAAGAGACATTCGACCGCCGAAGGCTGCACCCCTAGGAGGGAAAGAGAAGGAGGGCTGTTTGTTCCGCAGAGGGAAGGTTGGGAGGGGGGGGGGGAATCTGAAGTCCTTAGTGGCTAAGCTAGGCTAGCTGGGGATGATGGGGCTTGGGGGCCTAAGGGATGCCCCGTGGCCACCGGGAAAGGCTGGCTCAGCCAGCGCGAAGGTGGAGGCGCTGGTCCCCTATGAGAACCCCATAGTCGTCCAGCTTTCCCTGGACCTCCGTTGTCCCCTTTTCTCTCTCACACGCCCCCCTCCGTCGCCCTCCCAAAGGAGCTGCTTGTCCTCCTCAATTGGGCTCGGAAGAGCGAGGCGAACCGGGGCCTCGAACTGCAAGGGCGCTTTGCCCGGGCTGGAAGGCGCGCGGCTCTTTTCAGTTGGAGAGCCACGAAGCTTTTGGCTACAACCCCCGAAGGGGGACAAGCGCCCTGGGCAGCGTTTGATTGACCAAGGCCGCCTTAATTCTCGCCTGACCAACGGGGGTGGGGGGGGGGGGCTACGGAATTTTCGGTGGGCTTCTGAGCCCCGCATTTTGCCCCTGACTCAGCCCCCCCTGAAGGTACCCAGTACCGGTATATACGCTCCCCCCCCTCCCGATCTTTTAAGGTCTCTTTTTGAAAACGGTCAACAAGTAAACGGCGCGCAAGCAAATTTCGACCTGAAGTCGTTCTGGTTAAAGGAAAAAGCAATTTCGGGGCGAAACGTTTTTTTTTTTCTTACCTAACTGGACGCAAGCCGATACAAGTTTACGGCAGTTGGACTCCATAACCCGTTACCTGCAAAACATTAGACGTATTGGCATTGAGTTGACGTGCGAAATAAACGTCAGCTTCACGGAGTCAAACGAAAACGACAACAACAACGCGTTAAAGAAAAACACAACGCGTCACAAAAGAAGTCATCCTTGAGTAATGGATGGGGAAGGAAAAAGTGGCCCTTCTAGACGTGTATTTATTTATTTATTAAATTTGTTTGCCGCCCATCTTGCCCCGAGGTGACTCTGGGCGTTGGCCTTAAAATAAAACCATAAACATAATGAATAAATACATAAAAATCACAATAAAATTGCAATAAAGTTATACCTAAAAATTGATTTCAATTTGTCATAATTTTCAGCCAAATACTGTGATTTAAGCTCCGGTATAGATGCCAGCTAGCATACTGAAGTCTGGAAATTGGGGGAAAGGGCGTGTATGGTATCGGATTGGAAAATATAGTATAAAAATTCCAGGAGCAGACATTCGGTTCCAAGAATGCTTAGCTCCAGAGGTGTCCACAGGGTGTGGTCAAAAAAAGTCAAGGCGGTGACCACAATCACACAATCCAAATTTTGCCTATTATATGTATCAACTTTTTTGATCAAACCCTGTGCACAGCCCCGATTTGAGGTTACCTCTGTAAAACCTATTTCACCTCCCCCCCCAATGTGGCATTTGTGCGTGTGGATATACATTTGCATATCTCTTTCATCTGTACAGCTCAACGCAGAGAGTGAAGCAGATATACTTCCCATGCTTTAAATTCTGATGCTCCATGTAATCAGGTTGACTAGAGATTTAAGCCTTGACTTTAGAAGAAATTTAAGGCCATCTAGTTTTCTCATTCATTGAATTTGAATTCTGACTCTGCATAAACTTTATTTTGAAATAAATTCCCTCCCTCCCCCCCCCCTCTCTCTCTCTCTCACACACACATCAAGTCCACTGATGCAAACCTAATGTGAATTCACGTGCAACATTTCACGCCTGGAATCTGACAAATGCCCGGTGGCCCCAGGATATTTGTCTCCTGACAGAACCTTTTCAAAGCACATAGATCTGTAGGGGTTATAATTAGAAGGAAAAGTGGATTTTCTCACAGTTTTTTTTTATAGAGAAGAAGAAGAGGAAGAAGAAGAAGAAGAAGAAGAAGAAGAAGAAGAAGAAGAAGAAGAAGAAGAAGAAGAAGAAGAAGAAGAAGAAGAAGAAGAAGAAGAAGAAGAAGAAGAAGATCTGATCCTGAGCAAAATCAATGAAATAAAAATGCATTTGTAGGAAAGTTCTATTCCCTCCTCTGTGTGTCATAAAAAGCCTGCTTCAATTTAACTACCCAAAATGAACTTTTTCCTCTTACACTGGAAATTGCACATTTTTCCATCCATCCATTTCTGATGGGGAACCCCCCCCACCCCTCACGCAAATACAATCTGTTTTCCTAGAAATGGGCTCGTCTAAACTTGCTGGATTTTATTTTGATTCAAACCAACAAGTCGGTTTCACTGAGGAAATCAACCCAAGGACTTGAAGAGAGCCTGCAGTCTCCTTCACAAAAATTATGGTCTTAAGGCTGGGCATTTACCTGGAAGCAAAGCTTACCTGATTCAGTGCAACAGACTTCCAAATAAAACCAAATCTGGGCTGTTCGTGAGTTAACAAGGGCTCACTCAGCCTGATCCTATGAAATGTTAGTCTCGTCTAAGTCCACTGGAATAAAGCAATAGCTGACACCTTTGAGCCAGGAGACCACATCAAGACATTCAGCATACAAACGCTGTAATTTACATAACGGAGCAGGAAGGTTTGATAGGTATCAGCCTCCCCCACGTGGGAAGGGACATTCTTTTCAAGAGGCATGAGCAGGTGTGTGTCATTTTCCATTTCCAAAGATGTGCAGTGTCTACTTCACCCAGCCATCACCCTGCCACTATAGCCTTGGTACTGCCATGGCACAGATTGGCTGATGTTGCTATAAATCACTAGTGTGGATTGGCCTTTAAAAAGAGGAAGGTCTGGGTCTGAATTTGCACTCTCCAGGGACTCTGGCTTATTGGGAGGCCCTTTTGAGATGGAGAGGAAGCAGGGGCAAGAAAGGCAGTGGACCACTCCCCTTCTCCGCCTTCCTCCTTTGGCTGGACATGGCTGGGCCGAGGGCTGCTTTCCTAACACTTTAGATCAGTGTTTCTCAACCTTGACAATTTTAAGGCGTGTGGACTTCAACTCCCAGAATTCCACAGCCAGCATTGCTGGCTGTGGAATTCTGGGAGTTGAAGTCCACACGCCTTAAAATTGTCAAGGTTGAGAAACACTGCTTTAGATGCTACCTTCACTTCAACTTTTAACTCTTCTGAAAAGTTCTTTTTAAACTTAACAGAACAGAGATAACACAAAACAGAACAGAATAGAACAGAAAACAGAACAGAGAACAGAGAACAGAGAACATAAAACGGAACAGAACTAACACCGTAACACTAAAAAAAGAAAAAAGGCACAAAATTAGCGCCTGATTGAGACGTCTGTTTGGGAGATATTACAAAAATCATCACCAGAGCTCTCAACTAACTCGATATGAAGCAACACAGATGGGAGGTTATTAGTCCAGGCTTCAAATGTTTACTTATGGTAATTTTGATAGAAAATTTGCATGTCCTCTTCAGTTGGATAATTTAACATCCCGATTCCCCAAAATCCCCTTCCACTGTTTCAGTGTGTTAACGGGTGCTTACCCTTAACCAACTTATCCTTCTGAGCCTTCTCAGAAATCCCTGGGGGGACAGGGCAGCTCTGTCTAACTGGCTAATCAGAAACAGCCAGGAAGACGAACAATAATCCCCTCGACTTAATGATGAGGATGATGAGGATGATACCCTTCCATCCTTTTTTAAGCTGACTTACAAAACATGCATCTCACAGGGAAACCTGTTTTCCAGTTGAAGATGCGTTTTCTTACTCCAGGGAGAAAATTCCTAGAAGCTAGTAAAATTGCTGACTTCTTCCCACCCTGGCTGGCCTTAAAATCTCAGACCAGAGTCAAAACCATCTGATTTCTTTCCAAACCATCAGCTATTCCTAGGTCTCTTAGAGTAGAACTGGGTGCCAGCAATGGATGCAATTGAAATATTGCTTCAGTTTAATGTATATGGAGAAACCCATAAGTTCTTTATTTTTCAGGAGTCAAGTCTGACATGTAAGATGCCCCCAACACTTTACCTTCTGAGCTACAAAAAGGATAGAAGAAGCAAAGGAGACACTTTCCCCACAATGGAGGCCTAATTTGAGACCTGTAGTGAAACTCTTAGAAAAAGGCAGTTAAGAGTCCCTTTTAATTTCTCTTGGAGGGTCCTTAAAGTGGTTTTTGTCAAGCAGGTTTCCCAGGATAAATTCTGGGATTCATTGCTTGCCTTACTGGCTAATTAATTGAACACACAGAAATAAGGTGTTAATTTTGGCTTTAAGTCCTTCACTTTCAAAAATTGATCCACTAAAAAATATTATTCTAAAAATGCGATATCACGAGTTCTATTTATCCATTGTTTTTAAATATTGTACTTACTTATTTTGGCATATAAATATTTGATTGCAAGGATTGCTGACAGTTGAGAAATAAAGACATTTGCAACTGACATTTACATAGATTTATATGGAAGGCAGTACCAAGTTAAGACTAATGGCCAAGTAAGATTAAGGCTACACTGAGAAAGAAGAAAGAAACCATGATTTTTGCCAAGAAAAAAAGAAGTGACCATGCCATATTGATTTTTTAAGACCTAACCTGCAAATTTATCTGTTGGGGGAGGGGACAGGAGAAGGCTCTTGGGAATGACTGTTAGGCTTTATTAATATTAGCCCCAGATGCTAGACTGCTCATAGAATACATGCAAATAACCCCATAAATAGAATAAATGGGACCCTCTACCAAATAATTTGGAGTCCATCAATCAATATTACAATTAGAATCATATTCTTTTCTGGACTCAGTTTTCTTAATACACTTGCCTCTTACTTTCATTTTATTGTTTTAAATTCAGAAACTTAAATTGCTTTTATAAACAACACATACACACTTTAACCCAAAATAGCTAAAATAAAATAAAATACATTTTTATAGAAATGTAAAATGAAATACATCGCATTGCAGATTAGAATTTGGCATTTGGTTTTTTTTTTCCTTCCCTCATCAATATCAAGTGACTCACAATTGCATTTTTACAGCTTTTTAGATAGACCTATAAGCTGATTCTTATTGATACAAATAGGAGTTCTTGAAAAAGTGCAAAATTAGGTCAAGAAGGTGGATGGGCATCAAAAGCCATAGCCAGAAATTGTAGAAGGCTGGATTTGTTTTCATTATTTGGAATATTTGAAAAATTAAGAGAATAATGTGTTGCATTTCTCTTCAAAAGTGGATTCACGCCATGGAATATAAAGGAACTTTTGTAAAGCCATCTAAATTAATTAGAGGGATCCTCCCCCTTTTTTCCCCTAAACTCTTATTTCCTGTCTGATCTCTTGCTTAAATTAGGTCTCCTTTTATTGATCCTTAAAAATAAAAGAAGCACAAATTACTCTTTGTACTGCCTTTGGAAGAGGAACCAGATTTCATAATAGGGACACGATGGAGTCAGAAGACAAGACAAAATACCCCCCCCCCCCCAAATCTGCCACAAACTTCAGAATATGAGACTACAAGAAGCACATAGAACATCGAGGATCGCGCTAAAATTAAGTAACCCAAGTTTCAGAATCCTGATGCACACGACAGGGTTTACCATAGCAGAGTGTAAACTATCCTAGGAGTAATTGCAGTTGTGTGTTTATCAAAGTTAATTCAGTTACAGAGCAAGTTTCAGCCTCACTGTGGCAATCCCTTCGCAACTTGGCCTTCTCGACTTTTTCCAAGACTGGATGAAAAACATGAAAGGGCACGGAAGGCTAATCATATTTTGCAAAGGATTATTCCATTTGAGAAAGCTCCGTAGAAGGACCTGATCTCTCTCTTTCTCTTTTTTCCCTTCCTTCCT